AGGGTGATATGCGTGAAGTGCGCGGGACACGTGTCTTACGCGGAGCTGTGTTGCACTGAGCACAAATTGGTGCGGACTAAACTGTACATATATTTTCATAAATCATTTTATTGCACTTCCGCCGTGAAACAGCTTAAATGTAACATTCTCTTCTTCCGCGCTGTGCCGAAACGTACAGAGCTGGAGAAGGCGATGGCCGCATGCCAGTGTGGCGTGGACTGCATCGCCACAGTGGGCGACCGGTGACACCACATTCGCGACCAGGTGAAAGTTGCTGCCGAGGTGATCATCGGATGCGCCAAATGTAAGTGGTCTGGTTGCTTTCGTGACAAAAATTCGGCGACTGACGCATTGGTTTCGGGGAAGAATGTAGCATTTGCTGTGCACGTGGCAAACCCCAGTGACGTAAGGAAACACAGTCAGTCTCGCAAGCTTCGAAGACGACTGACACTAGAGCTCCGTCGCATTAAAAATGCATGATGGACGGAGAAGGCGAAGCAGGTGGAATGCTACGATGAACGCCGTCAACACAAGGTCTTCTTTACCTCCTTGAGGGCGTTGTATGGACCGAGATTGGAGCCGCTGAGGACGCTGATCGGTGTAGTTTAGGCGCTACCTGCACACAGACTTCAGACATTAGGCAGACCTGGCGGAAACACTTCGACTGTCATTTAAACAAACGTTTAGAGGTCGACTGGCCTACGTGTAATCTCCCCCATTTCTAACATGTCCGTTTATGCTGACACTCTCCATTTGTCTTCCCAAAGTAACTGCACTATTAAATCTCAATGCGCCGTCTAATACAGCCTCGCGTATTTGGGCTCCTGCTTTCTGACTCCTGTGACGATACTGGCCAATATTAAGAAGATCAACTACCCTGTCCACAGTACCTTAGTGAGTCTCCTTGGCTTCGCTACTCCTAAGCAGTAAAGCTTTCTTCACTCTGACCCTCCTCTTTCCTAATTTCGTTGTAGTCATTCCTTCTATAGGACTGCTAACTCTCAGTACCGTGCCCTGACCGAGTCTCATCTGACCAGTCTATTTTCTTCTGGCTGCCTTCCAAAGTACCAAGATACAAACAGGCTAGGCTCTGTTGAGTCAATGCTATGTTCCCCTCACCTAAGGGGTCCGCAAGATATGCTCAATCTTTATTAACTTAGTAACTCCGTGAGCATCCTAGACTCATTCACCCTTTATTAATATGGCTCTCTTCTCATCTTTATTATAGGTCCTACTCCTAACACCCCGACAAATCCAGGCTTGTTAGATCGGCTTCCTGTTTTCCGGATTCATGCAGACTTCTGAGACGTTGCCTTTTTTTCGGTTGACATAATTGACTAAATAAATAAATAAATAAATCTTATTCTCAACAAGTGAGGCACGTCTTTACAGGCATGCTCAGTTTGACATAACGATGCATGATCAAGAATGTGCAAAAATCCGATGTGTTTGCCAAAGCAGTTTGTGTTTGTGTAGGGGGTATGTATGTATGTCATTGTGTGTGTATATGTGTGTGTAGCTGTGTATTTTGTGCTTGTAGTTTTGCTGCTCCAATCTTCACTGCATGATATCGTCATCAGTTTGCGAGTAGGAGATTGGTGTCCTTGGGTTGGATAGAGTTATCCGGATATCCACGGAGCAGTGGCTTTATTTTGTGGCGAATCACGACCGCAACGTCACAGTGTTGTTAAGCAGACATTTGTGGCTTTTTATAGGGAGAACGCTTGCCAGGCGAAACCCACCACGTCCTGGAACACTGCCGCCGAACTATTTGCTGGAACGGGTTAAACCCGAACCACCCAGCTGACACCACGAGGAGTTTGTTCGGCTAGCCTCGTTAAATTTTACACCCTTTAACAATAAAACCGTGCTCACACTTACCCGAGACGTTATTACTTTAGGTTCTGCATTCCAAATACTTTTTTCTCCTCATCCCGAGACTTTCCTTGCCATGCTATCTAGTTTTTCATATAGACGCTGCCATCCCGAAAGCTCTTATCTTATGACACACATTACTGCATATTACTACGTATTTCACTCTTTAAGCTGATATTCTAATCTCGTGTCAGTTGTCTCTTTGCTTCCAACTACTGTGACCCTAATGATCAGGGATGGGCAGACATATCGGTCTGCTCACGTCTCCTTGAAAACATCGTTGGCTTTTCTACTTCCCCTCCATAGAGCGCTTCACTGTTCACTCTCTGTTTGCATTACTTTTTCAGTTGGACGTATATGCCTTCGGACCTGGCTCTAATCTACCCTCGACTGACCAGCACCGTTTCTGACTGCGTACCGACATCCAAGCAATTATTACTCTAGCTCTGCATTCCAAACACTCTGTTCCCCTCATCCCGAGAACTTTCCTTGACATGCTATCTGGCTTTTCATATAGCCGCTGCCTTTCCGATAAATTCTTATCTTATGGCACTCATTACTTTTCTTCGCACCTCAAGTTGGCGGTCTAACTTCATCTTGCTAGCTTAGCCGGACTCGTCTGAACAGTCTACTACTTTCTGACCCACCTTGGACTTCCGAGATCTAAGTGAATTAGGCTCTGCCGACGTAACTACCTGTAACCCTCAACTGAAATGAGTTGTTGGCCAATATTCGTCCTTACTACCATGCCCGCATTCTTCCTTTATATGCCAATTGTGTCGATGCTCCCCTTTAGAAATTAGACCGAAATTCTACTGCTTTCACTCTTTGAGCTGATATTCTAATCTCGTCTCAGTGGTCTCGTTGCTTCCAACTACTGTGACCCATTATATGATATGACTCCCTCAATCAACTCACTGTATGCTTGCATTCTTCTTGTCTGTTGTCCTTTCTTTATTCGACCTTCTTAGCTCTCGTCTGGCGATTTTCCTTACCTCATCCGGTCAGTGCACAGCTGCTCCTTGCTAGACGCACAGCTGTCACTCGTCTGTGACAGCTAATTGCTTGCAGTTCAGCCCTCTCACCGGCTTCTCCCTTCTCAGGCTTCCCTGCTTCTATTACATTATCACCAGGGCATGATTTCATCATCTGCGCTTCGCCGCGTCTTCGCCGTTTATGCTCTGAAATATTTAGCAACCGTATCGAATGCTTAGGCTTCATCCGTTCGCTTTCCCCTCTTCATAAAACCTTTCTTAATTATCTTCTGTGAAGCAAACATAATTCATGTGGCCTGCGCACAGTTGCTCCATTGCCTCTCTATTCTAAACACATTTATCTATTGCCTGCTGCAGCGTTCGTTACCCCTGCTCATGTCGGATTCCAGACCTATCACTGGCATTTTCCAGCCCAGTCTACCTTAGTACTAATATCTTAGCACCATAACAGGACTCAGTATCAGCGCGCCTCGGACTCATATGCTGCGATGTCCTCAGCAGACTTACTTTATGCATGCACTCCGACTGTTTGATGTCCTTGCATATAAACTTTTCAGCTTTCTTTAGCACGCCTTCCAAATCTTCAAGTCGATGCTCAGCCGTTACTTAGCCTCTCTACTCTAGACGTTCTCATATATCTTAATTGTTGTAACGTCTTCGACTTTTCAGCTGTAAGCGTCCAGCTATTGGACTAGCTTTCCCAGGCTCTTTCTAAAGTAGTAATCTTCCTGCACCATAGCATAAATTGAGAACTTATACACCACCGTGGTTCAGCATTATATGATACGACTCCCTCAATCATTCTTCTTGACTGTTGTCCTTTCTTTATCCGACCTTCTTAGCTCTCGTCTGGCGACCTTCTTTAGCTCATCCGGTCAGTGCACAGCTGCTCCTTGCTAGATGCACAGCTGTCACTCGTCTATGACACCTAATTAATAATAGTTCAGCATTCTCACTGGCTTCTCCCGGCTCAGTCTTCCCTAGTTTTATTCCTTTAGCACCACAGCATGATCCTATTATATGCGCATCGCCTATTTTTGCTCTAAACTAGTTAAGAGCCTTAACGTATGCCTGGGATTCATTCGTTCGTTGTCCTTTCTTTATGAAGCCTTTCTTTGCTCTCTTCTGTCGTGCAGGCATATCCATGTATTCAGCGCAAGCCGCTGTTTTGCCTCACCCTTCTTACTGTTCATTTATTCCTTACTTGATGTATTGTCTTAGACCTTATTACATGCAATCATACAACTCTCGGGCTAGCATTCGCTGGCACTATCCAGCTTGGTACTATTATCTTAGCACCCTAGCTGCTGAGGTTAGGCCTCACTGCTCTGATACTCTAAGCAACCTTACTCTACGCTTGCATTTCGGCTATTCCCTGCCCTTCCGTCAAGTAATGTTTCTTAGTCTCTTAGTTCTTCCCTCCTCTCACTTGGTCAGCACACAGACGCCCGTTAGCTTCACATTTCTAGGTGTTCATTTCTCACCATTTTCTTAGCACCCTAGTATGACTTGTTTCTCTGCGCGACGCTACATATATATTTGTTCCGCACGTGCGCTTTCCTTTAACTGATCTTTAATACTTCACTTCGATTGATCAACCCTTTCTTACCTATTTATCTGGATCCGTTTTCACAGCAAAGGTTTCGACACTTACCTTTGTAGGAGGTTAGCTCTCATAGGCTTTTCCTATTTCAATAGGCCATAGCACTATACTCCTAGTACCCTCGTGTCGTCTTTCTGTCTTGATCACCCGATAATTTTTACTCAGCGCTTGAGTCCTATCTATCCGCTGACTTACCATCTCTTTCGATGTAGGCTGGCCACCAGCCGTCCATCCACCATTCTAACGCCGCTGGTCCCTGAACTCTGCTTTCTGTCTTTCCACGCAATAGTCGCATCATAGTAAACTGATACTGCGTTTTTGCTTAATGGCGCAACGCTCTGTATTCCTTGTAGATAGTAGCAACCAACTTATAGGGCCACTGCTTTCGAAAAACATTCAAAAGACACTTTCAGCACAATCATTGCTGCACATTGTACATCATTTGTCTCCACTCTAAATGTTATAACATAGGAGTTTAATAATGTTTGTATCCACGCCTGTTCGTTGCGGCCTTGGTTGTCTCTCACCTTCCCTTTTCTCCGAGGTCCGGAACTTCTTGGGGATCTGGGATAGGACCGAGAAACCGCTTTTGTCCGGGACAGAACAACCAATAAGGACCTATGAAGCACATGGCTGTACAAGAAACGGATACAACTGCACTCACTACCAGGACCGTTGTCCAGTGATGATAGCTGGACTCGAGAACTTCACACACCTGAAAAGAATACATACTCCTGAAAAATCCAGACGCAAGAAACTGACGTTTCGCCCACCTGGATACCCACAAAGACGATTCTTCGTGAAGCCCACATCCTCGATTCGCCTCAGCCATTATGGCGGCCTTGCCCAAGATACCTGATCAAATAACAGAGGAAATTGAAGGTCATTTGACTGCGGATATCTGAGTTTGAAAACAGTCGACAGCCTGGTCCGCCAGGTTTAAATAAGTGCACCGAGAAATTGCTGACAGTGTTCCAGGAAGTGGATGGTTTTCGCCTGGAAATCGTTCTTCCTATAAAAATCCACAAATGTGCGCGTAACAACACTGCGACGAGGCGGATGTGACTCGCCACTGAATAAAGTCACTGCCTAGAACTACCTACTGGCAAGTCGACCAGAATCATTATTCAATATTGCCCTGGCACTTTCAATAATAAGTTACACCATGCCTATATGTATCGTTTTCATTACACATGTAGTGCCCTGACTGTTTCCACTACGCACGCTAGAATTCAACGTTTTGTCATTCATTGCGGCCTCTAACCCATGACCACTTACACAATTTCCGCAGACTGTACAACCTTCGGCTTACTGCCGACTACACTCATAGCAACGTGTTTGTTGCGAAGTAATATTGCATGTAAATATTGATCATGCCTTGCTTGGTGTGTCTCGACAAATTCGAGAATAAACTATTTATTTATTTATTTATCTAAACGGCCGCAAGCAGTACGATGTGAAGGCGAGTCTAGCAGACAGGCCGAATGGATGTGCTGCAGAGTAATTGCTTAGCTGCGAAACAGCAAGTGTGCTGCTATGGAAGTGATCCTGCCTAACGTATTGAACCACAGCAGACCCGCGATGTTGCCGGTTCCGCACCAATTGGTGTAACGTGTAAGGAAGGAGGTACTGCCTCCTGAGCCGAAGGATGCGCTTGTGCTACCACTGTACAAGGGCAAAGGTAGCGAGCAATGTTGCACGAATTATTGTGGCAGCAACTAGCTGAATTGTGTAGGCAAGTTGATTGCCCGAATCCTGCTCAACCTTCTCGTCAGTCAGGGTGTGGAACCGAAAGTGGCGGAAGTGCAATGTGGCTTCCGCTCGGGTCGCAACACTATAGAAATGGTGTTGGCGGCTCGTCAGTTGCAGATGAAGTGCGGAGAACGACGCCAGCCGTTGTACTCGTCTTTGGTTGGTTTCACCAAGGCATTTGATAAGGGGAACCGCAAGGCCTGGGTTGGGTAAGTTTGGTTACCGGCGTAAGTTTGTAAGTTTAATTGAATGTCTGCACAGGGGTAGGTGGGCGAGCGTGTAGCTGAGTGGAGAGACCTCGGATGACGTCACAGTTATTTTCGTTATGAACCAAGGCTGTGTCTTGTTGCCTGCCTTATAACTGTTTCGTGTTCCTTGCCTTTCCGTAAATATACTTTCTGATCTGGTGAACTTAGCTCGGATTTGTTTATACACGACTTATTTCATATGCTCACTAATTTAAAATTTATGTCACCGTTTCCTTACGCATTAAGCGATTTATTTTAGTTGTTATCCTTTCTCAAGTGATTAGCTGTTGCTTGGCCTCCCTTTGTGGCTGCGCTCGATGTGCGTGTTGACAAGGTGCCTACTTGTCTATTACCCACTAGCCCGTTATGGCTCTATGGGTCAGTTAGTTGCTGCTGGACGGGATAGGATGCTAGATACTTGTGGCGGTACTAGGTTGGAGGTAGTGGGTAATAGGCAGGTAGCCACTTTGTCAACCTGCACACCAAGCGCAGCCACACAGGGGATATCAAGCAACAGCCAATCACTCGAAGCGGCAAAATAAAATAAATCAAAGAAAGCTTACAGGTGGGGCGGCATAACTTCGCTAAATTAGCATATGAAGTAAGCTGATTAGTAACCAATCCGCGATAAACAAACAGTGTTCACAAGTTACTTAAAAAGGCTGCCAACGCAACAGAGTTACCGAAGATAAGCGCACTTGGCGTAAGCAGATTGGCCAGCTAATAGAAGATTATTCAGGTAGGCGCAACCAACCAAAACAAATGGTATAAGGTTTATGTATTTATATAATTTCGAAAAAACACTTCACATCAACCCGTACTAGTTATTATAACTGTTCCTTGAGCCGATTCCTCAACTGAAACATTCATCACTCAATCAAGGGATCTTTATTCGCTTCATTCATGGATAGCATCAAACAGAAACTCGACGGTCATATTAGGCTGCATTACAGAATTTCCATGAAATCTTCTCTTTTAACATCCATTGACTCGTGCCATGCGTTTCTTATTCCTCCAGGGCAGCATTACAAATAAAACCTCTTTGTTGAACAACTGTACCTTCCTTGAACGTGCATTCAAATAAATACAACGTCTACAAAAGTACAGGAACAATAATAATCACACATTTCCAAGCACGTGAGTTCTATGAACTATTTGCTTTAATCACCCACAAGTGGTGTATGCACATGTGAACCGCAATCGCCCATCCTTCACTCCACAGCAGATGCCATCCCACTTCACTTACGCCTCATTAATTCCTGCATATAAATAATGCGCGACCTTCACCTTCAGCAGTTATTAGCACTTTCATTTATCATAACCGTTATCGGAGAGCATACCGCTTTTCATTGCTAATTTAATATTTGACTTATAAGTTCATCAAGATAACAATCAAAACGACGTAGCACTTCCATGGTTCCTTGCTGTCACCGCATACAACTCCCGTGAAGCCCCCTCCTGCCCTTACAAAAATTAACCTTCCCCAGGCTTTCGACGATACCGCTGCTTTTCGTGCTGTCTTCCTTCACCGCGTGTACCGCACTGTTGCGAAGTTCGGAAGGGAATTAAAGCGCTTTCAGCTGCGAACTGCATCAGGTTTTTGGAAATCAGATGTCCTGACACCTGATGCTTATAGGAAGAGATCCGGTAAACAGTTGTCAGAAGGTGTCCGATACAGATCCGTACTCTATAGGTGCGTTTATTGTCACAGAAGGGAGTACACATGCAAGCGATAAGTTGACGAGCAAGGTTTATTAAACCCTTAGTAACTGTAGGTACTAAAGTTATGGTTGCAAGGCCCATATTGTCATACGGCATAACGGCTGGTGTTGCGACATAGTATCCTTTAGCGTTGTGCACAGCCGTACCTTTCATGTAAAAAAGTCGTTTCTGTATGTGACCGACAGCCGGCTCCCGCGGCATGCGGAGTAGGACTTTACCGAATACAACAGCCGTTTAAGGTCAAGCCCGAGTACAGGAAATATGCGTGCACGCACTGCGGTAGAAGATTAACCCGTTACGACCTCCGGACCATAAGACATAAGGTGAGGGGAAAGGTTGACATTAACACAGTGGAAGCAGTGCTACAGTTGCTGCAGAGCGTCGGCCAGTGTAACGTGTAGTATGAGGAACCGAAGATACGGTTCTTATTTTTGGTTCCCAGGTACACACCTGACCTCGTAGTGCTTTACCGTTAGGTAATGCTGCAGGGTGCGACACACTACATAAACGGCAGTGGCTACATATTGTGACACTGCCTGTTTGTAAGTGTACATGATATAGGGCGTTCATTTTGCTACGCTTTGCTTCCGAATGAGACATCTGCATGGTATATGAACGCTGTACGCAGCATGTGCCTTACGTTACCAGCGACTGAGACGGCAAGGACAGTGGTAGTCGATAAGTGCAAGGTCCAAGTCCACGCATTTCAAACTGTGTACCCCTATACGCGCATTTTATTGTGCCGTTTCCATTTACTGCAGTGTGTCAACAGTCGCAGCAACGGGCTATCCGGGAAAACTGCAACGGACAGGTTGCTTATTAAGCAATGGGTACGTAATTCGGTAAATGCTAGGAGCTCCTGATTGTCTGTCTGGTGTTTGACAGCCAGTAGAACGCGAAATACCGAAGCGCACAGGTAATTGGTTAGGACCTGGTTTGCCATTTTGTCCCATCGTGGGCGGAGCACCGCTTGAGGTCAACCTGTTAGTTCGCCTCCTAAACCACAAATAGGCATTTAAGGCGCTATCATTCTGAGCGAACCTCGTTATTAGTTCTGTGTAACGTGTTCGTTATCCGGGTGCTTGATGCTCAATCCTATTTCTAGGTTTGATGGACAGAACGACCTGTTTGAGCACCCAATAGGCTGCCTCGATAGCGTTGGACAGGCTGCCTATCAGTTTTCAGGGTACGCTAGGATACCTTTGCAATGCCAGTACACAAGGGAAATTGTGAGAGTGACCGACTTTTCCAAGGGTAGATGTAAAGTGCGAGGTAGTCATAAGCACCACGCCTTGGTAACGCGTGAGCACGTAACTTGCCAATCACGTATTAGTCGGTACTGATTGCTTCCTTGCACTCAAACTGTGCACGCATTGCACGCGGTAGGCCTACCGGTTGACGAGGTAGTGCGCAACAAATGCTGGGTTGTGTCGCGCGCGCTATGTCCGCGTGTAAACGCATCCACGTCGTCCGCCATCCTCCCCCTACCATCGAGTTTAATAGTTGCTCCGATAGCCAGGGAGGAGAAGCTTCGCTAATGCAGTCCGGTTCTTGGTGGTATTCAGGTGCTGGCTTTCAGCTTTGGTGCTGCAAAGTATAGGGAGGTGATGGATCAGTTGCTTGAGATTATTCACAACCTAAGCAGTTCTAACGGTGACGCTGTGGGTTCCACCACCGAAACCATTACTGAATCAGCAGCAGCAGCAGCAGCAGCAGCAGCAGCAGCAGAGATGAGTGAACCTACCAGGGAAGGCACAAGACGTAAGCAACTCTTGGTGCCTGTTCTAGATGCGTCCGTCGGTCAGGATCAGGAAAGGCAGCCACGTCGTTTTGGCTCTTTGCACACCACCACCGCCAGGTTTTATAAGCCTCCGGGGAAGCGTCGTTGCAATGCAAAAGTCCTAGCCAATTACGACAATGACAAGTGTGCGTTGTGCCTTCAATCAGACGGTGAGGTTCAGAGTAGATAGGTGGTTGGCTGGGTCACGTGCTCCGAATGCGGCCTTTGGTATCATCAGCTGTTTACCTGCCGTTTAACTGCCATCCGTGTTTGTAAGTTATACTTTATAACGTTGCTATTTTTCCGTTTATTTATTACCACGCCACTGCT